TAGCTAGAAGGGAAGAAACCAAGAGCAGATCTAATCTAAGGCCATGAGTGGTAAAGAAGGAGCTAGTGTAATTGTAAGTTATAGAGTCTATTTCAACTCATTCTTGTCCTGTAGGGCAGAGTAGAATGATCCAGTAATGTTTTCTGGTTAAATCTTTATGGAAGCTGATTTCCAGTGGAGTTACTGATTCCTGTGGAGTCACTGATGGATTTGAAGCAATGACATTTCAGTTAGAAGCCCAGCACTTAACCATTGTGCCAACCTAGCTCCTTAAAGTAGTGACAGTTCTATTTACTGAGAGAGAGCAATGGTAGATATTTTGTCAATTTCATTGTGACCTTGTTTTGCCTGTACTTTGCCAAACTTGTGAAGTAGCCTTGTTATATCATGGTCTTAGAAAGAACTTTTTAGAAGTTGACATTCTCTGAAAGATTTATGTTGAACAGAACACCATGGCTCAGCTGTGAGCATCAGACAAGTTGCTAAAGATTCTAAGACCTCATTAAATGTCAACCAGGTTCCCAAATAATCTCTCCAGAGAATCCTCGACTAGTGACTTGATCACTTTGGACCTTGCTGTTTTCAGTACTTTTTTTTTTTGTTTTGTTATCATTTATCTAGAGTATAAATTTACGCTACTATGATCACTTGTGGGGAACTCTGATGACCCAGTGGCAGGGAGCTGCCTGCCAATCCAGTGACACGTGTTTGAAGCCACCAGCTCCTCCATGGGAGAGCATTGAGAAGTCTCCTCCTATCTGGTGTACTGTGTCTGAAACCTGCAAGATCCTCTTTGAATGGGTTCCAACTGGATAGTATAAAAAACAAACAACAACAAGAAAACACCCCAGAAAAACCACCCCCGAAAGCAAACACCAAAAAGGCCTCCACAAAAACCTATATAGTACATAACAAAAATATAACATGATCACCTTTGAGTGTTGTTTCTTATCTACAGCCTTAATCAAAACCTTACAGAGATTTTTTGTCTTTCAAGTATGTGCTGGAGAACTTACATGGGCTTGTGTCTGGGTGTGGGATGAGCAGTATTCCTATTCCACTGGGCAGCTCTGCACATAAGACATGTGTTTTGTGAACTCAGAAACCCCCTGGAGAGATGCTGTCAGGTTGCAGCCTCCAGGCATATTAGCATGCGTTTACAAAGTGTAAGAAAAGAGGAAGAATCACCCAAGTGTAAGACTTCAGGAACAGAACTGGACCCAAATATCTCTGTTGTTTTGGAGCAAGAGGCTTCAGATCTGTACACATACAAGTTTGACCCTTTTTCAGGGTGACCTGGTTTAGACGTCTCTGCAGGAAGCAGGACAGTGAGTGGGCAGATGCAAAACATGTGCCTTGCTTTTGGTTCAGAGGGCACTGACTGTCTCTGCGTGAGGATGTTATAATTTGAAGCTCATATGTTACCTCATTAACCTGTTTTTTAAATTAATTTTGATGTTCTTTCTCTGCTCCAACTTCTATTCTGTTTTTATAGTTATTGTTACTAATTTTTTGTCATGTTAGATTTTTAGCATATCTTAGAGGTCTTCAGTTTTCATCAAGTATGTTTATTAATATTGACATGCTTTCTTTTGTTGTTGTTATATGCCATCTTATTGCCTGCTACTCATAGCTACTCATACTTTCTTTTACTATTCAGTATTTTCCGCCTTAAATACTTTAAGATTTTTCAGCAGCTTGTAAAAATCCTTACTATGTTCACTCATTTTTATTTTAAATTTTTTAAATGATATTGCATTTCACTTTTCCTTCTTTTGTGTTTTATTTTAAAATGATCATTAAGAAGGTTGATTTATGTCTTCCTGTTGATATTGTTGTTGTTGGATGATGTCGAGTTCAACTGACCATATGAAAAACAGATCTGAATCCTATCCTGTCCTTTGCCATCCTCACAATTTCTGCCACGCTTGAAACATTCCTGCAATCACTGTGTCAATTCACCTAATTGAAAAATCTTCTCTTTACTGTTGCTCCACTTTTCCAAGCATGATTTCCCTCTCCAAGGAATAGCCTCTCCTAGTAACATTCCCAAAGTATGTAAGATGAAGCAGCAACATCTTTGCTTCTGGTCAGTACTCTGGCTGTATCTTCTTCTAAGACCTATCTGTTCATTCTTTTTTTTTTTTTTT